CAATTTTTTAACTATTTTTTTTCTTGAGGTTTTGGGGGTTTTTTTGAAAGTGCCAACTACTACTTCTAATGGGCATTATCTGTTTAAGTTAATTTAAAATAGTTTCTGAGGTTCAAATGTAGGAATTAAATACCAAACATAAAACAGCCACCTTTAGCCTTCCACTTCCTTCCTTCCTTCTTTTCCCAGTCCCTCATATTATTGAAACAGATTTCTTTTATTGAAGGACCAGCAAGCCGTAAAGTCCATGGAAATTAAGAGCTTAAGTTTTCTCTTAAAATCATAATCAGTTAAATGTTTTTGTTGCTTGTGAGTCCCATTACCACATTTGTCCCATCAGATTTCAAATGATGAAGCATTAGACCCCATTATGTTCCCTCTGTGTCAAGTATGTGTATACAAGAAAAAGTAGTAAGGAGTGATACTGTCAATAGTAAAAAAAACCTCCCTCAAACCTGATTCTTACTAACTGGTGATAAATAGAAAGATTTAATTTGGCAGAAAGGTGGTAAATTTACATTATCTGCACAACAAAAGGACTTTGCTTTCTGAAAAAAAAAAAAAAAGTAAATGAATGCAATTTTTCCGGCCATGTTGCTGTCTGACTAGCCTGTTACCAACAGATCTGCTGAGTAGGTGCCTCCTCTCTGCCACAGGACACATTTCTTCAGTTGGTTAGCTGGTCAGCCTGGTACTTGGTTACGCATTTGGTAGAATTTTGTGGCCCCTGTTCAGTGCACCACCACCTCATTGAGTATCCACAGGGATCTCAGTGGCTCATCACCTTGAGCCACAGCTAAAACGGCTGCTCTGCTTTTCCGTTCTATATAGTTTCAGCAATGGATGGGAACCCAAGGAGACAGTGGATTCACCACTGCGCACATTAATGCTGTTCCCAGAGGTGGCTGGCTTTAGAAAGGGTGGCAGCCAAAGGGAGGAAATACAGGCTTGCCATGGTGCTAGCCAGTTATTTCTTCTCCATCTATAGTGTTTGTTATAGAAACTCACCCTGCAGCATCACAAAAATGCGATAGAGATGGGGATTACCACCACTGAGCAGTGTTCAGCACTTTAAAAACAAGTTTTGTTGTAATTAGTTACATCAGAGTTGCAGCACGCAGGCCATGTGTCTGGTCCTAGTGGCTTGCTTCCAGAATTGCTGATTAAGAGGAAGAAGCAACAGCATAGAGGCACCAAGTACCCGCTTTTATCTAGCCAGGCCAGTAAAAGCACTTACTTCTGGGTCACTGAGATATATTGATAGGGAAGGACAAAAACATGGCTTGCAACGTAACACAGCATTTATATATATAAATGCATCCTGCTCAAGAATAGCAAGACACAGCCTACTACTACACTATTTTCACTACAAACATAATGGTGCTTTTCCATGCACGTAACACACAAAATCCCTGCATATGATTTTTAAGTGTTCCATAAAGGACAAATATGGGAAAGGAAAGGAAACAGCACAGCCAATATTTTTTGCCTAAACAGACTAATAAAAAAAAAAAAAAAAGGTATGTTACTGAAGTAAAAGCAAGTTTATTTCCCATTCATGGGGCACTTGAAGCAGAGGTCTAGAAATCTGTGTAAGTATTTGTTTAAGCCTTTGCAAAGAGTCAAGGCTTGCTGCAGCTACTAATGGGAAATACTTTCAGATTTTTACTTTTTTTTTTTTCCCCTTTTTTTCTTTCTGCCTTAAATGATATTGAAACCAGGTAATGAGCCTGCAGGGAAAGCCCTGAAAACAGGGGTAGAATTATAGTTCTGCTTTTTACTGACCTTCATGAGGAAGATAATGTTATTGTTAAACCTCAGTATGTTCTGCAGCATAAAAATTAGCATAGTACAAGTTGTTTAAATTACCTCTGTTTATCTCACATGTCAAATTTTACTGAAGTATTCACGTTCAGTAGGACATAAGTATGAGACAGGTTATTACCTTTAGAGATTTTAAAAGCAGCGGCCGGGTTTAAGCACTATAACACTGCCTATCACATTTGAATTTGTTAGCTGAAGTCTAACATGGATTTAGCAAGCATGAATATAATGGAACAAGGCAGCAAAACCTTCAGCCAAGTTTAGAGCCCCATGTTTAAAATTTTGCCAGAATTACCCACTGAGGGCTTTTACCAGGACAGCAACGTAGGTCAGAGAACACATCTCTGACTGACGTACCTTTGTGGCCAAAAGCTTTATAGAATCAACCTGGCTTGTGTATCTTGTTCAGTCCTGAACAAAAATAAATCCATCTCAGCTATTTTCCAGAGCTGATCAGTTATAAACCGTCCTTTAGCAATGATGCATTTCAGATTGGGGGAAGGTGGAGGGAGAAGGGTTGGAAAACTTGTTAGGCAAAGAGAAGCAGGCATTATCCTTTCATCTATGGCGTTCCTAAGATCTCATTTCTGTCTGAAAGCATGGGACCAAAGGCAACTACGAGGTTAAGTCCAGTATAAAAGTTAGCATATCTTCCCAAACAAATGGCAGGTACAGCCTTACAAAGGCCTTGTTATCCATTAGTTTGCAGAGACTGGCTCTAAACAAACCCTGAACATTTTGATAACATCACCACCACCAATAATGACAACAAAAGCCCCCAAAAGCCCTGAAAAATCAGTGGTTTGTATTTCTTGTATCTCGGTATCATTTTTAAGAACCTTCCTTTTCTGTTTTCTGCAAAAAGATAGAAAAATACTCCCAGTTCAGAGGAGCCCTGACTCAGAAAAGCCTCAGATGCATTTCCAGTGAAATCCCAAACCCCAGATCTCAGGAATATGTAGATGTCTCACTGGGCTCACAGTCTTATCATTGAATTTGGTGTGCAAAATTTCACTCCTTTGCAGTTAAAACAGGATCACAGAAGACTTTGGACAAATAGCAGGAGAGATGGTCTTTTTTCAGATTCAGGTTGCTTCCTAGTCATTCAAGACACAGTTTTCAGAGCAATGAACCTGCTCAAATATTCTTGTGCAAGTTTGGAATGAAGTAAGACCGAGGCTCCTCGCTACCTCCACCATATCCATGACACTGAGACACAGCACATGCAAAGACATGAAAAATATAGGGCACAAATCACAGAGTACAGTAATGCTGCAAGCAGATGCCACACATCAAACAAAGCTTTGCAAGCTAAGAGCCGATAGCGTCTTCATAAGCAATATCGCCCAAGGAGCTGGGTAACTGTGAGCTGCTGTGTCCAGCCTGGGGCACACCGCGATCCCATGGGCAGATTGTGCAGAACACACAGACAGCTCCAGGAACTGTGCTGCTCTCACTACAAAGCAGGAAAAACTTAATTTTTTTCTCAATTTCCACAAAGGCTCAGGACATCACAGAAAATTAGATTGCCAATGTACAGGAGAAGAGAAATCCCTTCACCCCTTTAAATAGTATAAAATCTACATATTCACGAGAGATTTGAGTCTCTTTAATATTGCTAAGTCTTTTCCTAAAAGTAATTGCTGAATGAATGCTAAATGTGTTAGCTTAGCAACCTCTGGCAGGAGATGCTGTTTGATTTAATCTGAGTTATAGATTGCAGCATATGAATATTGTTTACCTTTTAAGAAGCAACACCAGTGAAGCAAAGAATCAATCAAAAACAGATCTAAGGAATCACTCATTTCACGTAGAGGATTTGTGGATGGATGAGAAGGCTAGACACCGAGCACCTGAACAGTGAACTAACAGTACTGCAGATAAAAACCAACAAATAGATTAGATGTGATGTATCAAATTAGATGCTGTTAAAGCATTAGCCTACTGTGCATGTTATATTATACCTAGGAAAAGATAGTGGCCTGCTTACTTATTTCTCCACCTTTCCAAGCAGTTGTGCTGCACTGAGCAGACACTGCAGCAGTGAGCGTGGGGAAGAACAAGACAAAATTAAATCAGCTGTTTCTACATTGCTCTCTCCCACCAATTTACTTCTGACATTAAAAATGCTGTGTCCAGCTGCTGCTGGATCTGGGTGAAACTGAAATAGATGACTTCTGCACCCTTCAGTTTCAGATGAACTAACTTTTAGAGCACTTGATGACCCCACTGGGAAGAGAGCTTTCCTGTTGCTCACTGGCTCATCTGATATCCTCTCCCCACATCCCAACAGAACCTATTTCCAGGACTCTCGCGAGGTATCAAGTGAAGTGGGTTTTCATGGCCACTAACCTTCCCCTCCCCACCCCGGGAGCTGCAGCTGGCAGGTCATTATCCCATGCCTTGTAAAGGTATTCACATTCCAGAGCAGCAGAGACATAGGGAGGAATGCAGGAACTGTGTTAGCCCACATGGTTCCCTATCCCCAGCCCCTGTGAGCAGGCAGACAGCAGAACTCAGAAGCAGAGGCAAGAACATGCATTTTCATCATTGTCAGTGAAGCAGCAAAAGCTCTGTGAGGGGGTCTGAAGCAGAAAACAGGATGCAGCACCTTTGTTTCTCTCACAGGAATACCGCTCACTTCAAAATAGGTAAAACGAACAAGTAAAGTTACTTAGGGAGAGGACTGCAGAGCTGGGGAAGGGAGAGAAAGCGACATGCAGGGCAGAGCAGGATGCGCAGCTGATGGTGTAGATGCGGACATGGAAAGGAGAAGGAGAATGGAGGATCATTTCACAGAGGATACCACATCAGCAAACTTAAAGTGGCCCTTGGTTAGTTTGTTACATTGCAATTAGTGCCAGGCAGAACTGCCCTCCCAGCTCCCTGAAGCAGCTTTTGCAGGACTCCCGCAGAAATGGTATAGCTTTGCTTATGGACAGAAGCACCTGTTCGGTACCTCTGTGCAGCAACGTTTGGGACATTAGGTATGTGGGCAATACATGCTCAACTGCTACCAGCTCCTGGCCCAAAAAGGAGAGAAGAGAGAGAGTCAGATGATTTCCTAGTCCCTTCTCTTTCCTGTTCTAGAATACCAAGGAGAGCCTGACATGGCTAGGCTTTTCTCTACTGCATGGCAAACTGCACAGGGAAGGGGAATCTCCATGGGTGAAGAGGGTAGGGGCCCTGTGTGCATGAAGGCACTAACATCAGGAGAGCAAAGTGATTTCCAGTCAGTGCAAGGCTGCAGCAAAGCAGGAACACCTTGCTATACAAGCTGAAACTACGAGCAGTAGAATGCAGATTAACCGCTTGGTTGCCGCTTACCATGCCAGGTACATTGGGCTAAAGGCACCTCCATCCAGTGCTGCCCGACGTGCCAGGTACATCCCATGATGTTCCATTGAAATCACAACAGGCCATCAATAGAACGTGGCTGCACGGATGCAGAATGGAGAACCAGCAGGGACGCTGTTAAATGCAATTAAAAAACTGCAATCAAAATTGAAATGTACATTTTAAAACGGCCACCTGCCTTAAATATGTAACTACTAGAACAACCTCCCCTCCACCCATCTCCCCAGAACTGCTGAACTGCGATGGAAACAGAGCAGAAGGCCTCTCCAAGTTTCCTGATGACTCTCTCTGGCCACCTTTATTCAGGACTCCCAATGGCACTGAGCTTCGGGTGACCAGTCCATACATATCCAAGAACAGCAGATCCCAGGAGGTCTGCACCAGCTTCCTTCCGCCCAGAAATTCAGGCAACTAAATATCACCATTTAGAAATGCCTCTATGATGAGAAAAGCCTGGCACCAGAACTTCACAGTTTCGTTCCCCACACAGTACAGGCAATGGAAGAAACACTTAAATGCTGATCCTCTGTGTTGTCCCTATTTCCCTGTCCCCCTTCCCAACCCTTTGAAATCCTCCTCTTCTAGAGCTGTTATGGCATTAAGCCAGGCTAGGTCCTTTGGCTTTTGTTACATCTGTGGTGCAAGATGGGTAAAGAAAGTACTGTATACCCTCTCCTATTTATAATGATGCTTCACTGATAATTTAATCTATGTTCTTGGAGACTGGAGATCAAGTTGATTCTTGGTGAACTGCAGTTGGTATCAGAGTCGCAAAATTTAAGATCTGTAATTCCACCCTTCCCTGCCCAAAGGAAAAAAATAACATCTTTTCCATGTCAGGGAAAGGCACATCCCACAGATAGCCTGGGCTTGACAAGCCTCGGGTATCCCCTGCAGTGCGTATCCTCCTTCCCCCAGCGTTCCCGTAATCAGCTCCGGCAGGATTATCAAGGAGGACAGCCTTACGGTAGATGCTAAGCACAGGTTCCTCTCTACAAGTGGTGATGCTGCCCCAGTGAAAAAAACAAACCAAACCAACCAACCAACCAACCAAAAAACCCCAAGAAACAAAACAAAAAAAACCCAACCCCAAAACAACGAAAGAAACAGAACAGAAATAATCCTGCAGCCTTGCAGGGATTTAAAATAGGTTTTCAGATCCTCATGGCAGAGTGAAACTTCTGCATAGCTCTTCTCACATTGATGGCTGCATGTCTCCAGATAGAAGTCTTACATTTAAAAAGTTAGAAGAATATTGATTATCATTTCAACCTTAAAAGATAAAAGGCCAAATGAAAAAGACAATAATTAATGTAGCTGGATCAGAGAGAATGTAAAGGGGGACGCTGGTCTGGGAAATAGAAAGTGTCTTCATGAAAGGACACTGAATGTAAGGAGATGGCTCTTCATTCTTCCTGGACATCTGCTGGACTCAGGCCCAGGACAGCGTTCCCATCATTCCCACCTGCATTCTTATCCCCACGATTCTGTAACTAAATCCCTTTCACACTGAACTAATAGGTCTTTTATATTCAGATCGCCTTGTTTTGACTGCTATAGGCTGAAGGTTTTTAAATCTTGTCAATACTATGAAGAAGTGAAATGTAAGCAAGCGTTTGCTTACTGACCTGGGCTACACTGAGCCAAGAGCATTTGCTGAACTAGTCTGAACGGACCACTGCAAATGTGAACAGGCCAACCCACATTTAAATAGCATGCAACTTGAAGCATAACAGGCCAGAGCCCCAGGGATTTGGAGCTTCCGTCTCTCCGAGAGATCACACGCTCTAGACTGTATACGAGCAACATACTACCGGCTGCATCTGCCAGCATCGGGACTCTGCAAAACACTCAGCAATGCTCTGCTTAAGAAAGGCTGAATGCTGCATAAAGGTATTTCTTGGACATCAGCTCAAATGCAGATTTACACCCAGATTACAGCAATTTGCTTCTTGCTAGTGTGAAGAAAGCAGCTCTTCTCCATAGCTGTATTTCCCCTCTAGGGCAGAGAGTAACAGAGAACTGCTTAAAACAAAGGTGTTTCCTACTGTTAGAACGTTACACTGCAGTCAGAAATGAAGCTTCCTGCCAATTCCTAAACAGAGCCCTTGTATATTATACATTTATTTTCACTGCTGACATGAAGGAGCCTAAGACTACCTACACCCCTTAGTGGGAAGAGAAGAAGAGAGGCATAGACTTTGAAGATCTTGTCAAGCAGAGCCAGGCACTAAAAATTCCTGCATATCTGCAGAGCACAGTTGATCTCAGGAACACAGCAGTGGCACAAAACAAACCCTGAGTGAGCAGCAAGAGATGTTGGGCTCTTCTGCAGCCCTTGCAACAACTGAGCAAGCTCAGTTCTAACTGTACCTGCATTGGAAGTAGTAAAGGCAGCTCTGATGTCCCATGCTAATCTAACGACTCCTTATTGCACTAAAATACCCACATATTCAGTGGAGAAGCTCAGCCGCACAGGAGGAAGGATACCCTCTACCCATCCACCAGTTAAGGCCCCTTTGGTATGCAAAATTCCTGTTTCCCAGCTACCTTTGAGCCTTGATGTACAAAATTCTCCCTTTACAATGCAAGAATTTAGGACATGACTAAAGGATTGATGCTACCTCCCAGTTAATCCTAGAGAGCATTAGGGAGAATCAACAACCCTATGAATTACATGGAGTGAGAAGACGCTTCTGGTCCTAAAATGCTTGGGCTCTGTCCTTCAGTATGGTAGGCCACAGTTGGCAGGGGGTGCACAGGGTGGCAGCTTCATGCCGAGCATTGCTCCGGGGAAGAAGATGATCATCGTGACCCTTTTCCAACCGAGACTGTCTTACAGCACTGATTTAGGGCTCTGAGTCACCAGAGGTACAAGCTGATAGCAGAGTTGTGAAATGCAGCGGTACTGGAGCAAATGCGTGGCCCTTTCAACTGTCCCTGCAACTGGGGAGGGATCTCCAGGACAGGCATGAGGCAGACAGCTGGGAGTGTTAAATCCTCTAGCGACTGTGACTCAGACCCCTTAGTTACAGGGTCTGTTAGAGCAAACAAGTCCTCAGAGTACTGGGAGAAATGGGAGAGTGTTTGATAAAGATCCTCCCAATCGGCCTGCTTATTTTTATTCCTTGTGTGGACTCAGTAAACTTTTCTGCAGAGAGAAGCAGTCTGCACAGGAGCATCTGCATACAGATTACTGCTGATACGAACTTGTTGCAACATGTAACACTGAGCTCCATACTGAGGAGTGCAGGAAGGACATGGGTACAGCCTTGGACCAAAATGTCATCTCTCTCACCACACGGCAGATACCAGTGAGCACACAAAAAAACCCCTCTGCTGTCTCATTTTCTTCTATAAGACCAAATCTCATTCCCTTATCTCATCCATACCTACAGATGCAGCAACAGTTCTCCATAACATAAATAAATACTGCCTTAAATACAGCACCTTTTTCTCTTTATCCAACATTTTCTTCATCCCCCCCGCTCCCCCCCAAGAACTGACCATGTTCTCAGCCCGGTATTTCCCAGAGAAATCTTTGTCTCTAAGCTTCACTTTTTTCACTTCCCGCACCCCCCCCGCCTTTAAGGGTGGTGAGGCACTGGAACAGGTTGCCCGGGAGGTTGTTGAGGCCCCATCCCTGGAGGTGTTCAAGGCCAGGCTGGATGTGGCCTTGGGCATCCTGGTCTAGTGGGAGGTGTCCCTGCCCATGGCAGGGGGGTTGGAACTCGGTGATCTTCAAGGTCCTTTCCAACCTAAACCATTCTATGATTCAGTGAAGTCTTTCAAGCAAACCACTGTTTAAGAACCGGTCCTGGCAGTACCAAGGCTGTATTGCCTGCCAAACATCCCTCCAAATCGTATGCTTAACTGATCACCCTGAACCCTCACATATTTGGTTCTTTGCAATCACCAAAAAGTGTTTCTGCAACTCTGAGCCTGGCAAATGAGAGGATGCCAGAAAGCCATTATTGCTTGTAAAAGCAGAAGGCCTAACAGGCTCAAAGTTTTGCAAACTGTCTGCATTGCATCCAGATCTATCCAAGCTGAAGATTACCTAAGGGGAAAGCAGGGATTACTCATTTTCAAAATTCTTCATTTCCTTGGCTGCCTCTCCTCAACCGCTACTTCTCATTTTGGCTGTTTTATTCCCCTGTCTTCTTCACTTCAGACTTTCTTTAAACTCAGCTTACAGGCTGCAAGGAGGTCACTCTACATTAGGCTTCTCAAATCCACCTCTTCCCAGCAAGGCTCCCATCCTGCCATCCTTATCCTGCAGCACTGCACAGCAGTGGTCCAGGGCTCCAGACAGTTTCTCAGCTTTGGGGATTACAGCCCCAGGCGCATTATGAAAGGCAGCCCAGCAAGGTCATGGGGTGTTGAAAATTTTGCTACAATCCAAAGCACAGCATCTTCCCTCCTTTCCTTCCCTA